AGAATTCACACGTAAGTGAATGTAAATGGAATCAACCTGGATTCGAAATCGGCTCTATGATTCCACAATCCGAGCCGATATCCATTACCCCACCGTACCTCTCTCTCTCTCTCTCTCTCTCTCTCTCTATATATATATATATATATATATATATATATATATATATATATATATATATATATATATATAATGTTATATAATAATGTATGTTATATATATACATTATATGTATATGATATATGTTATATATAATATATGTATATATGTATATAATGTTATATATAATGTATGTTATATATATATATATAACATACATTATTATATAACATATATATATATATATATATAACATACATTATAATATAACATTATATACATATGACATATTATATATAACATATATCATATACATAAAATATACATTATACATATTGTTTTATAACTTGCAATAATATTCATTACATATAATTATATATAATATTAATTATATATATTATATATAATATTCATTATATATATGCATATAATATATATTGTATATATAACATGTAATGCATATATATAACGGATATATTATATATAACATATTTTATATAAATAACATATGTATTATATATGTAACATATATTATATATAACATATATCTTATCTCTAAAAGCAAATATATTATATATAAATAATATATATATATATATATATATATATATATATATATATATATATATATATATATATATATATATATATATATATTATAAATATGGCATATATATGATATATAACATATATATGATATATAAAATACACCCCTGGTGAAAATTTTAAGACCAGATACAAAAAGGTTTAAAAAATATAAAATACTCATACTTTAATCAAAATATATTTGTGAAAGATTTATATTTAATTAAGAAACAAATGAAAATTGTAAGGTTTTAATTGATTACTTTAAACAAATATTGAAAAAAAGGATTTTTTTGGATGTCCATAAATACAAGACAATGTGTGAAAATAATAAATTACGGGAGAAAAATTTTAAAACTAGTCAGTGTGCTCATAGCTTCAGTCGTGTAAACATCTACGTAGCTAATTTCCAGTATTAAATTTCAGATTTTAAAATGGTTAAGGGTAAAATTTAAACAATGTGTGATCAAAGCACAGCTGTTGTCTTTCGCAACGAGCCATTGCAAATGAAATTGGCCGTAGCAGAACTGCCATTGCTAACTTCGTTAAAAATCCAGATGCGTTTGCTTTTAAAAAATCAAGCGGTCGCCCCAATAAAATCTCACCTTCGCTAGACAGACGCATTAGGCGAGAAGTTAAGAGAGATTCAAGCCTAACATCAAATCAGATAAAAGCGAATACAGATGCTGAATGCAGCTCTCGAACAATCCAACGGCATTTAAATAAGAAAGAGTTTAAGAACTCGAAACGGCTGCAGAGGCCTCGCCTTCTTCTTCGACATAAAACATGCCGTTTACTATTTGCTTCCGATTATCAAACTTGGGATGTGGATAAATAGACGAAGGCGTTGTTTTCAGACGAGAAAAAATTCAGTCTTGATGGCCCAGATGGTTTTCAGCGGTACTGGAATGTAAACGATGTCCCAAAAGAAATTTACTCAACACGATCCAGTGGAGGTGGATCAGTTATGATCTGGGGTTCATTTTTGTACAATGGAACTCTTGAGTTACAGGATGTAAAAGTCGTCAAACAGTTGCTAGTTACATTGAGATGTTAAGAAAGGCATTGCTAATTACCGAAGGCCCTCGTCTATGTGGAGAAAACTGGATTTTCCAGCAGGACAATACTGCAATCCACAACGCTTCCCAGATCGAAACGCAATCGACAATATTTGGGGATCGATGGTAAAGGATGTATATAAACATGGATCGCAATTTGATACAGTGGATGCTCCTCGTGATGCAGTTTATGCATCCTGGGCGAGCATCCAAAGCTCCATTATGCAGAAGTCAATAATCAGTATGCCAAAGCGAATTTTCGAAATCATTCCCAAAAATGGAGGATATATTCAGAATTAAATTGTCGTTGGGACATATTTGTTCTGTATTTGCTATTTTTATTTACATATATTTAATATTTATGACCAACCCAAAATTCCTTTTTTCAATGTTTCTTTAAATTAATCAGTTAAAAGCTTAAAAATGTTCACTTGTTTTTTTAATAAACTACATTTTCTAATTAAAGGTAAATGTTTCGCAAATATATTTTGATTAAAGTAACGGTAATTTATATTTTTTTTAACCCTTTTGTATCTTGTCTTAAAATTTTGACCAGGGTGTATATATATTATATATATATATATGAGATATTTATAATATATAACATAAACATGATAAAATATATATATATATATATATATATATATATATATATATATATATATATATATGACGGTTCCGTATAGGATACAGGTTCGAATCCTGTCAAAGGGCGAATATTTTCTATGAAAATTTCTCGGACATTCAGGCCGGTAAATGTTATTTAATACTGTTTATTATAAACAGAGCATTTACTTAAATACTTGTATCTATAAAAGAACGTTAAACATAAAAATGTCTTTTAATATATATATATATATATATATATATATATATATATATATATATTATATATATATCTATATTACATATATATTATATATATATTATATATATGTATATATATATATATATATATATATATATATATATATATATATATATATATATATATATATATATATATATATATATATATATATATATATATATATATATATATATATATAGCATACTTCGTGTGTTCCCAGGCCTTGAAATGTGGAAGCTTATTGTAAAAAAAACAAAAAAAAAAAAAAATCTCAAAAAGTTGATGCTCAATTAAATTTGAATGTTTCCTTATAAGGAAACGCTTATTATTTTTGTTGTAACGTAGAAAGGTTTACTGAATGAGGAATAAATCTAACAGAGGTTGGAAATGAAATGTTAATCTTTATGAAATCAACAAAATACAATACTCGCCAGAGGCGTGAAGTAGGTAAACCACTGCTAATTGTAGACTACTTAGACATCATAATACCCCACTTACAATAGTGTCCGACATATTTATGTTGATTGAGACATACCCATTAGTACGGTATATAACATTTACATTTATATACATGTTTAGCAATTAATCTCGTTATTGTATAATTACATTTTAGCTCCAGTTCAAGTCCTATCTGAAATCACCTTAACTTTTCAGACGTGTGAAAATAAATCGAAGATGTCCTAGTTATGATGATAAACTACATCTGGTAATCAGGTCTCTGATCTGGAAATTTTGAGGAGTGGAATGATAGCAAATTTTGGGTTCCAGCTATGGGCAAATAGTGAACTACGAAACTGGGATGAAAATACTGTGAAAGTATAAATTACATTTTTAGAGTCAAAAAAAAAATCCAGCAGTAGATTTTAATAGTAAAAAATTCCTAGCAATATATTTCAATAGAAAAAAAAACAAAACATTCCAGAATGGAAAGTTTTTTTCATCTATTAAAAAATAGATGAAAAAAGAAAATCTAGCGGAGGTTGGAACTGAAATGATAATCTTTATAAAATCAACAAAATACAATACTCGCCAGCGGCATGAAGCAGGTAAACCACTGCTAGTTGGGGACTATTTAGAAATCATAATACCGTCAAACAAACCAAAATAAACGAAAACAAATCGAAGCTGAGTGGTGACGGTAGCAAAGTAACTATTCTATTTCTGTGTGATCAGTAGAAGTCCAGACTATGCTTATATTGTTATCATTAACATCAGTCAGGAATAAGAGCGGTGTTAATTAATAGTCATTTAAAGCTGAATGTTTCCTTATAAGGAAACGGTTATTACATTTTCTATTCATGTTTACTATTAAGGGGTGCACCCCTTTTTATATAAGTGGACTCGACATGTGGTACTTGTACTGCTGCCGGTGAATACCCTGGAGTGAGACAGTGAGAGGGTGCGAGAGTGAGAGTTTGAGGTAACCGCTTTGTAAGAGTCACAGTTGCGAGCACGTAGACTCAGAAGGAAGTCATACTTCGATACTGAATTTCCCAGACTATATATATATTATTATTGCTACTAACCGCATTTCTGGATCTACTAACCGTATTACCAATTGTATTATTACGTCATTATTGTATTATTTGCTATATTTAATTCCTGCGTTTGTCATTCTTTTGAGACCGGATTTCATCCCGGAATCCACAACATTTAGCAATTAATCTCTTTATTTTTGGCCTCAAGTTCAAGTCCTACCTGAAATCACGGTATATTTATTCTATGCTTTTTTTTTTAATTGAAGGTTATTCGACGTTTAAATTGTAGGTTATGAGATATTTTCCTCTATATCAGACAATACCTACGTTTCGATTTTATTTGTTGGCCTCAAGAATGAAACTATTTTTTTAATGCAGCTAACAACTTCATATCAAAAATAGATTATCCGATGAAACATCAAAGAAGGTATTCACCAGAGACGATCGGCTAGCACAACAGTATAACAAACAATAAATTGGCGGCTTACGGTGCTGCATAGAAAAAAAATAAGATGAAAAAAAAATGTAGATCTAAAATCAATATCTAAAATTTACGTATAGTAGAAGGGACGTTGAAGAACAGGCAGGCATATTTGTATATTTTTCTGAGATGAGGTATTGTAACTATTTACGCTATTTACATTGTTCACACTGTTGCTTCGTTCTTTATTGACATATTCATGTCACATGACCCACTGGATAAAAACGTTGGTCGAAATAATTCATTGACTCGAACAGGAACAGGAACAATCTACACCAGTGAACCAAATAAACGGTTCATTCGAAATTCCAACGTATATCACCTGAAGAACACCGGAGAGTACAACGGTTGAAACCTCGTGAATGACAATAATGAGGAGGACAGTAAACAATGTAAATACTGTAACATGCACATATATACAGGTAAATACAAATTTATCATCATATAAAGGCTTATGGCCATACCACGTTGAGACACCAATTCCTGTAGGATCACTGAAGTTAAGCAACGTCGTGCCTGGTCGGTACCTAGATGAATGACCGCTTAGGAATAACAAGAGCTGTAAGCTTGGATGTGCGGGTGACGTAATGATAAACGGCTCGAAATTGGAAATCGGAGAGCCGAGTTCCAATTCCATTCGATTTCGTTATATTCGCTTACCCGCAGACAACCTTGGGAAAGATCTGACTCCACGTCTTCTTTCCCAGTTATCGGTTAATTAGTAAGATTTAATCATTATTATCTAGAAAAAATCTTACAACAAAAAGATATATACTGGCTTTAAATAACCTATAAAGGGTCCGTTATATTTGCTTAAACGCGAAGACCCTATGAATCCACCTCTCCCCCACCCCGGCTATGTGTTAATTAGTAGGATTTGTATCAGTAAAATCATTATTATTTCTAAACATTTCTTGGAATCTAAAAACAATTTATGACTTTAAATAACCAGCAAAAGGTTGATAATCCGTAAAAAAATGAATCAATGAAAAAAAGTCAACATATGCTCAATCTCATGAAATAAGTCCTGGAATAAAATCAAAAAGTCTTCGTAATAAAATAAAATTACAAACATAGTCATATAAATGTGCAGATATTTCGTCGAACACATCTTCAACTAAAACATCTGTACCATTTAAAATTTCAATGTAAACATGACTTTACCACAGCCACTTATTTCCCAGACCTGTGTGTTTGGGAAAACAGTCTGATTACATTTGTTGGTGGAAATTATTGTCGGCGACAATTTGAGTCGCCTAAATTTATTTTTCAGTTTTTCAAAACAATGTTTTTGTTTGTATTTATTTGCTTTTTACGATTGTTTGTTAAGAAAACAAAATAGGAAAAAATTTTCAGCTTGGTCGAGTGTTTCATTAAATACACAGACCGTAAGAGTATCTACGAGGAAATGGAAATGATTCTGAATTTAAATTAAGAGTTGAGGAAGCAAACCGTTGGTTAGATTTCAAATCGTTGGCCTCTAGACATAAGTGTTATAAAATCTTACCTAGTATCCAAGAAGTAAACATTTTAGGTGAAGTTCGGGTCCAATTCAAAATATCAAAAAATCGAAAAGCTGATGTTTCAAAATTAACAAGGCACCTCCATTTAGAATATTTGACCAAGGTCGGATATCTTAATTCAAACGCTGTAAATATATATATATATATATATATATATATATATATATATATATATATATATATATATACCCTTACTTGACATCTGTGAATGTAACTGAGATATTGATACAAATTATTAACATCTTATGCCCTTTTCTTTAAACAATTGCTCTAGCCGTTACCATAGAAATTTTGATTTCAATAATGAATATGCTATTAAAACACGTAAATTTCAGAAATAAGTTATTCCCAAAAAATTTTCGCTTGAAGATGGAACAGAGCTTAGTACTTTAATTCAAATTAATTCAAATAATTATATTGAAGTTTTCGGCTCTTGTTTTGAAACATGAGAACTCTTATATAGCGTGTTGGAATCATATTTTTTTTGAATAAATAATATATATATATATATATATATATATATATAATTATTTATTTAAAAATAAGATTATATATATATATATATATATATATATATATATATATATATTGATCTTTGATCTATGTATTTAATGAAAGACTCGAACCAGCTGAAAAAAATTTCCTATTTTGACCAAGGCCGGATATCTTAATTCAAACGCTGTAATATATATATATATATATATATATATATATATATATATATATATATATATATATATATATATATATATATATATCCCGCCGCCATAATGTAGTTTCCTTGTTGGGAAGAGACAACTCAAAACCGCTGACGACTGAGCGCCGGAACAGCTCAGAACTGAGACAACTCAGCACCAGAGAAACAACTTTTTATAAAAACCGAATAACGGTAATTTATTAAGGATTAAAACCTTAATTAGGCAATATTTTTCTTCAAATAAGGCATTTAAAAAGCCTTATGTAATATATAAACCAGTTTCTTTTTTGCTTATAATTATTTTTAATAAAGTAAATCGTAAAGATATTTTTTTTTATAAAAACGTGACAGATACAAATAATTAGAGAACAAAAACACACTTGTAGTAGTTAATTCATTCTTAGTAAGGTTTTTGAATAGTTTTCGCCGCATCGAAAACGATTTTGTCACGTTCATGCCATGTGCTATTAAGTGAAGACTGTTGTTGATTTGTTATGAGTGCATGCATTCTCTTCAAATATAATCTGAACCATGCCACAGATGAGCGATTTTTCGGAGATAGAGTATAACATATAAATGTTGTGATTGATTAGATATCCCAGGGTTTTTTAAACAACAGTTTGTTAAAGATATATAACGAAATGTAAAAAAAAAGTTTTGATGTGACGCGTCACAAAAGTTAAGCAAGGACGACGCTGATCAGTATCGAGATTGGTGACCACTTGGGAATGCCAAATGCTGTAAGCTTGGATGTGCGTGTGGAGTAATGGATAATGGCTCGGAAGTGTTAATCGGAGAGCCGAGTTTCAGTTTCAGTTGGGTTCGTTATATTCGCTTGCGTACAACTACCCTTGCAATTCCACTAAGACGCATAGGGGATACTGGGAGTTAAAGCAAATCAGACGACTTCAGAAGGAACCAGAAACCCAATTCTAAACAGGAAAAATAGATAAGACTCAACTCCAGTTCAAAAGTCAGAGGAGAAGTGTGAACTTGACGATAGTTGAACCTATGAACTTTAACCGTTTTTGTCCTCACGGCCTTTCGGCTATTGCAGCTCTTGTTACTTTCCAGTATATTTTGAAATTGTCAAGCTTCTGGTAAGATTGTAAAAACTTTTGTCCGAGTTAAATTGAACTCGTTTCGCTTTTCCATATTAGAGCTTATTTTAGATTAACGAACTCTTTCTATTCACTTTGTCCTTTTAATGATCCATTGTGTAGAGGGGCCGTGGCTGTTATGTTGTTGATAGAAGTCAGACGTAGAAGAAACGCATGTAAGGTTCAGATACTCCTGCTCGCCGGGCCCAACTACATAAAAAGGTTGGACTTTGATTAAGTCCAAAGAAGAAGGCAAAGAAAGCAAACAAAACACAAGACCGATAATATATGTATATACAAATATATATTAATAACAAGTTACAATACATGGAAAGCGTACAAAGGATGAGGTGTATGGGAATATTCTGTATGTGCGTGCGTGTGTGAATATTCTGTATGTGCGTGTGTGTATATTGTTCTTAGCATGTTTCCACGCTATCCCTTGTTAGCGCCTACATTTCGAGGTTGATAGCTGAAATCCTGATGAAAAGGAGAGATTTACCTCAAGGTGTCGGCGCACAGGCCTGAAGGAAAAAAAGAGAGATAGAGGCGAAAGGTCAGCGGCTATTTATAGCCAGGGAAGAGAGACCCCTGGTGAAAGGGTTAATGTACTAAAGGAGGAGTTAACTCCGACAATTGTACCGCCCAGTCAGTTCCAATGTATAACTTTTGTAACCCAGGGAAGGTTCGTAAATAGAATAATCAAACGAAGGTTAGTAATGAACGATTGTATTTAGAACACGAACAATATATATAAGATTCGACAGCGACGCGTAGAAGTAGTAGTCAGCTGCTAGAAGTGAGTCAAGTGAATTCCACAATGAATCTCCAAATGCAGGATACCTAAAAACCGCTCCACGCGGTCAGATATGGCACAAGGCCGAGTTTAATGTGGGGTGTCCAAGTCCGTAGGCACGGCCAAAATTTCCCCGTAGACCCAGTATAAAACGGAGTCGGGTAGCTGTTTCCCGAGACGAGACTCTGCCCCTCCTCATAGCATCGTCTGGGGATCCTCTCTGAGAGGTGGCAGAGAGTTTGATCCATACAGCTAAAGACGAATTTCAAACTGCAGAAGAATATAGAGTATTTGCTACTATATTTATGTGAAAGGGGACATACCCATTATCATTATTCTACAACAATAACCAACATAGGTGCTTTAACTGACGCATTTATGCGTTGGTAGAAACATTAAGATTGCAACAACCTAGATAATTACAGTTGTTAAAAGGAAGCGTTAAATCAGTCCTTAAAACACCAGGTCTCATCAACAGACCGGATCTTTTTGGAAACCTTTTAGACGTGTGAAAACAAATCGAAGCTGTCCTGGTTATGACGATAAACTACATCCTGCAGTAAGGTTTCTGATCTGGGAATTTTGAGGAGGGGGGGTAGCACATTTTAGGGTCCCAGCTATCGGCAAATAGTGGACAGTCAAACTGGGTTCAAAACATTATGAAAGTATGAAAATACATTTTTATAGTAAAAATTCCAGCAATAGATTTTAATAGAAAAAGATTTTTAGCAATATATTTTAAGAGTATTTTTTACAGCAATAGATTTTAAGAGTAAAAAAATAAAAAAAAAATAATATAAAAATCCCAACAATACATTTTATTATAAAAATAAATTCCAGCAATATATTTTTATATTAGAAAAAAGATTTACCAAAAATTTCAGAGGTAATTAAATTTGGCATTAAATGACCCATAAGGAGTTGATATGCCGTTGAAAAACTAAACCAAAACAAACCAAAGCTGAACACTGACGGTAGCAAAGAAAATATTCTATTTCTATGCGATCAGTAGAAGGCCAGTCTACGCTTATATTGTTATCATTAACATCAATCAGCAATAAGAACGAGTGAAATTTAAAAGCAAAAAGAAAAAAAAAAGAAGTAAAAAAACCAAATAACGCTTTCGTCTATACGATTGAACTTAGTCGAAGAATTTAGTTGAAGGAGTGAGTAGAAACTTAGTTGTTATTTAAATTTCATTGATAACCGAACTTTTCCTTGTGACATCAATAGAAGAAAATAAAAAAAAAGTCTTTCGAAAATTAATGAACCGTCTGAGTGTATGCATAATTAACACAAATAAGTAGAAGCCCTATAGTGAGATTCTGAAATATGCCAAGACGATAAAACATAGTAAATTACGTCTTAAAAAGAAAGAAAAAAAAACTTTTTTTCTTGAACTTTAAAAAAAAAAAACTTTTCGTTCATTGATGATGACCAAATAGATTCT